CAGCGCTGGAGTCCAGCCAAGGTTTTCTATGAATAGAACACAGCAGAGAGCCTTCGACTCTGCCCGTTTGCAAAGCGATCCTGGAAGCCATATCCCGGGAAAAGAGACCGCGTACCCGCCCTTAGGAGGTGAGGATGGAGCAGATTCTCTGCGATCCTCCAGCACACTACTGGCCAGACTCCTTGCTTAGCATAGCAAGAGAGCCACCGTGTCAGGGATGATGTTGGCACCTGTCGTCAGAGATCCATCAGACTTCCAGCTGTTCTTGCAGGAGATGGGTTTCTAGGGAAGAAAAGAAGGCTAGTGTCCCCCTTCTTCACAGGAGAGGCTTCTGTGATCAAAGGATTCCTGAGACCATGAATAGTACCGACTCCTACGTAGGTTAATGTTCTTTCCTATGTATACACCTGATAGTATTTAATTTATAATTTTTTTTTTTCCGAGACAGGGTTTTTCTGTGTAGCTTTGGAGTCTGTCCTGGAACTCACTCTGTAGCCCAGGCTAGCCTCGAACTCACAGAGATCTGCCTGCCTCTGCCTCCCCAATGCTGGGATTAAAGGCATGTGCCACCACTGCCCAGCATTATGCATACTAAGAGAATAGCAATAACTAATAATTAGTAAAATAGAATGATTGTAACAATAGAATGCAACAAAGTATTGCAATGCCAAGCTCCTGCACTTTGGGACCATTGCTAAGTAAAATAAAGGTTGTTTAAATATAAAGCTTGGTGACACTATGACAGACAGTTCAGCTACCGAGTGATTAATGGGCAGGTAGCACACAGCATGGATATGCAGAGCAAGAGATGATTTACATCCTGAGCAGGATGGGTTGGGGTGGTTTTAAGTTTGGTCACAGGGCTTAGAACAACACACCCTTTAAAACTTATGAAGTGTTTGTTTCTGGAATTTTCCACTTCGTATTTTCAGGTCATGCATGTCTGTAAGTTACTGAAAGAATGGACAACAAACATATAGATAAGGAAGGGTGACTGTACACAGAAACAAGAAGGTCTTCTGGTTTGGGCAGCACTGTGTCTTGTGGACATGATGCTTTTGAGTTGATCGTTTGCAAAAACAGAGACCCACCTGAAAATACAGAGGTTACAAATGGATGGATATCGAGGTATTATAAAGACACAGAAAGCTGAGGAGATGTGGCTGGCCCTGAGGGAACTAAGGAGGTGAACATTCTTTTCTCCCTTTCTGCAGCCCAGAGACCCTGTTACCTTCCTTATATCCAGTTCCCCTTCTTGGCTCTCTATGTTCTGCTTAACAAATAACAGTAACAATAATAGGGCTTGGATTATAGCTCAGTGGTAGATTGTTTCCCTAGAATACAAGAGGCCTTGGGTTCTCAAGCCCCAGCCCCACAGAAATTAAAATAATAGTAATAAATAATTACATACTACTGATTATATATTACATAATTAATAATTATACATTACTCATTATATACTACTCACAGTAGTAGCTAATGATATTGCGTGTTTGATCTGCACATGCTCCAAGTGCTTTCCATGTATTCGTTTGTTCATTCTCAGAACTTATCAAGGCGGGTGCTGTTTTTATACCCATTTTTAGATGGGTATACTGATGCATGTGGGTAGAATAGCCTGCCTATGACTGAGCATTGTGTGGCAGAGACAAGTCTCAAACCCTCACAGTTTGCCTAGCCCTCTTCCCTTTGACTTACCCAGGTATTGCCTCATTCCAAAAGTCATTTCCTTCTGAACCTGCAGAACTTTTTGAAAATTTCAGACTTCTGGCAGGAGTCCATTGGCTGTTTAATGAATAAATGGCTTCTGGAGTTTAACATTTTGAGAGAAAAACCTCTGCTTGGTCACAGGAACAAATGTATCTTTTGTAAAAGAAGTCAAATGCTGCAGTCTTTTCTGTGTATTGGGCTGATTTGACTTACACATTTTCAGCTTATGACAGCATGAAAGTAGCACTCATTCAGTAGAAACCATCCTTTGAGTTTCAATTTTGAATGCTTTTTTTTGTTTGGTTGGTTTTTTTTTTCTTTCAGTCTAACAAAAATGATAATCTCTTGTGATGTGGGTGTGAGCTACACTTTCTGATCAGCCTGATGATCATGGAGAAAAATGATGGACACTTTACAGTATACTGTGTTGCTAGGCTACGATATTTGGCAAGTGAGATACAATAAATTCATTCTCGGGGCTGGAGAAATGGCTCAGAGGTTAAGAGCACTGACTGCTCTTCCAGAGGTCCTGAGTTCAATTCCCAGCAACCACATGGTGGCTCATCTGTAATGAGATCTGGCACCCTCTTCTGTATGCATAATAAATAAATAAACCTTAAAAAATATTTAAAAAAAAATTCATTCTCAGTTTAATGATACTCTCCATTTAGGACGGATTTCCTTGAGATGCAATGTCACTCAAAGGAGAGGAGCATCTGGATTGGCTCCCATATAACAGAGGTGGGTCCCGCTGGCCTCAGTATGGCTGAGTCCAGATGCTACAATACTTTGTTAGGATTTCTTCCATTCACTCCCTAGGACTAGGTGAATCAGGGGTGGCATCGAATAACCACAGAACTCCTCTGACCACTGCAGAAGAAATGTCCTGGGATGTGCTGTGACTGGGGAGTCTCAGTGCCTGGCTGGGGTGGGGAGTGGGGATGAACTTTCCACAGAAAGGACGGTGCCCAAGAGCATATGGAGATGGAATGCAGAGCTGTAAGGACAGAGAATGCAGATCCTAATACCGGGAGCCTGTCCAGATCCACTGTCCCCAGCCCAAGGGAGCGCACAGTGCACACAGCACTGATGAGTTTCGGATGTCACAGCACCATCCAGAAGGAAAGTCTCCGATGAGAGAGTCTGGGTGCACAAATGTACAGAGACACACCTGCCATGGTCATGGTCACATAGACAAGTCCTAGGAGGACACCTGACCTTGACAAGAAGACAATGCTTAGGAAGCAAGAGACATGCCTCTGCTCTGCATGACTAGCCAGTGGTATGAACTGGGCAACTTGGTCCATCTCCTCAGGCCTTGTTTCCTCTTTCGCGACTGAGTGGGATGGCTAACCCGCCTTTAAGGCGCAGCCTAATATTCTATTGGTTTATCTTGCAGGTCTTAAGTTATGTTTCATCCCTCTGAACTGTAGGGATTATATCATGAATGTGATTGACAGTGGGGGGCCTGAGTCCAGGGGGGATGCTGACGTCAAGGGGTAAATTCATGGCTTCCTACAAAACACAGTGACATGTAGGTAATACAGGGGGCAAGAGAAAAGCCATTTGATCCTTCTACTAAAGCTCTTGCTGACACCGTAACTGGAACCCTCGCATGGTTATGTTTTCAGTGTTTTTGTGTCAGAGTTCCCAGTCACCTCCCACTAAACGTGTCCACTTCTCTCTCCCGCCACCGCCATGCTTGTCCACCTCTCTCACTTGCCCACTGGTTTACGGCATGTCCATTCTCTAGACAGTGACCCCCTCAACTCTTACCATTTGCCAAAGTAACTCTTGCTCTTCTGGTTTTAATTCATTTGGTAAGGAGACATCTACTCTCCTTTCTGGCTTGGTGACATTCCTCTCTGATATATTTTCTGTGTAGCCTCTCTGCAGGCATCTAAGGAGAGCCACAATTATTTACCAGCTGCTTAGACACTGGGATTCTAGTGAAACTCTATGCTCCAGACAAACAGAAACCACATCTGCTTCTCTCTGGGCCAAGTGTTTCGTGTACAGTAGGGTCTGGTGACAAGAGGGACTCTGTATTTTAGTTTCCAGGTGACTTAAACCTGAGGGTAAATGCACATGGGAAAATTTCCTTTTCATGGTTGTCTTCTGAAGTTAATGATTTGGTCTGTGATTGGTTAAGAGCAGTGAAAGATGAAAGAAGAAGGTTCTAGAACTTGCTCTCTTCCATTTGGTCAAGAGGCATAGATGCAATCAGATTACTTTTTTGAGATTTCCTCACTTAATATAAAGCATTAACTTAGACCATCGGGTAAGATCCAGGACTCTCTTGAGAGACACTATGTTTGACCCTCATTTTGCAAAATCTGAAGTCCTATCTCTCCCAGGGAAGAGGACCTTTCCAACACCAGGGAGTGGGTGAGTGTGTGCTAGCCAGTATTCAGTAAGGAGACAGGAGGGGGGGATGGAGAGACGGAGACAAAGACAGAGACACGGAGAGGTATTTTGCTAATAGGAGACTGGATGGGCAGGGCAGAACGTTCTCATCCACCAATCTTTGTGCCAAGTAGGGCCTCAGCCTTTCAGCCTTCATGATTGGGACAGACGATGATGCCATCTGAAGAGCAGACACGGAAGCAGGCGATGACTGTGACATGCGCATGCGCACTTGCTTCATTTTTCCTTCCGTCCACGGATTCTTAGAGGACGTTGGGCAGGCTGCAGATTTCCTGTGGTGGAGGATAAGTCCAGCAGCGTGTTTTCTTCAGAGAAGAGATCCCTTCCTTGGAGCGCAGTGGTCAGGCAAGCTTTGTGCCTACGCTTCTGAACTTGCACACCTTTTCATGTCTCCACTAACCTTCATGCCTTGGTTCTGTCACTTAGAGTTTGCCCTTCTGTACTTGAGGTTTCTAGGACTAAAAGGTTTTCCCAGGCTGCGGGCTTACCCTTGGGTGGTAGATTAGACTGTGTGACCTGCCGAGTTCATGATACACAAAATTCTGCTTTTTTCAGACTCTCTCACCTTCTTCTTACCCTCAGACTCTCTTACCTGATTCTCAGGCTCCCATGTAGTCTGGTGCCATGGCCTAGAGATTCACCCTCTGAGACAGAGGCATGTGCAGGCCAGGCCTGTTGGAGTAGAAAGCATGGGGGGTGGATATAATGTGTACATGATTATATGTGATTGTGTGTGTGTGGTGTGTGTGGTAAACAGGAACACATGGGTGGGAGGGTTGAGACTTTTTTTTAAATTTTTTAAAATATTTATTTATTTATTGTGTATATAATGTTCTGCTTGCGTGTATGCCTGCAGGCCAGAAGAGGGAACCAGATCTCATTATAGATGGTTGTGAGCCACCATGTGGTTGCTGGGAATTGAACTCAGGACCTTTGGAAGAACAGCCAGTGCTCTTAACTGCTGAGCCATCTCTCCAGCCCAAGGGTTGAGACTTAAGGAGGTTGTCGTTCAAGGTTCTGAGAGGCAGCCGTTCACAAGCCTTGCGGCCCCTGGTGGGCAGGGAGTCAGCTGCCCTGGGAGAGCTCCAACTGCAGAAAGAAGAACTCATGGACAAGTGCATGGTCCTGGAAGAGTAGCTTCGGAAGCAGGAAGGTGAATACAAGAACTACATCCACAACCCAGAGAGGTAGGTGCCAGACAAGGGCCGCTGGGCAGGGACTGACCCCAGAGCTATTTCTCTGCATCAGGTATGGGGTCTGAACTCAGAGGACTTGCCTCTCAGTGGCCAGGAAGGGTTCTTTTGTTTCCTTTTTAGTCAGGATCCTCTGTCCAAGCCTAATATTCATGCCTTCCATGCTTCCCTCACCTGAGTTTCTGTTTTATTTTTATGGGAGCTGGCGCCATTTTGGGACCCAGTTTAGCCCTCCACCATTCCAAACTCAGCAAAGGAGTGGAACCCTTTCTCTCCACCCAAATGCTCTAGTTACACTTGGGTTCTGAGGTACTTATTATTGCCAACTTGGCTAGATTGAGAATCACGCCTTTGGGAATGTCTCTGAGAGATTTTGGAGTTAATGAAGTAGGAAGACCTGCCCAAAATGTGGGCAGTACCGTTCCACGGCTGGACCCCCCAGACTCAATAAAAATGAGAAATCTAGCTGAGCACCAGTGATCATCGCTGTTTCCTGACTGTGGGTGTCAGGTGACCACTGCCCCAAGCTCCTGCTGCCATGGTTTTCTCTCCTTGATGAACTATCCCCTTAACCTGTTAGCTGAAATAGATTCCTCTTTCTTGAAGTCACTTTTGCTAAGTATTTTATCACAACAACAAGAAAAATAACCAACACATGGTCTCCCTACTTCTGACCAGAAAATTGAGAAATCCCATCTCCCCTAGACTCTTTCCTGCCCAATGGACTTGGGATTTGGCTTTCATTTTTCTTTGGTTTCCAAGACTTGCAATATGATTTATTTATTTTGAGTTTGCAAGTCGAGTTCCTTCTCACTCACTTGTGGCTTCGCCGGGTGCTGCCTCTGTTGTGGGCCCTGGTATGGGCTCAATATTGAGCAAGTTTGTACTGAAGCTGTTCTGTGCTTGGCAGGGTGTTGAAACATCTCAGCCACAGTCGTGGGAGGCAAGGAGCATGCTGCTGTGGGAAACATTGACAGGCCATGCTGGAGAGCCATCAGAAGCCGAGAATTACGGATATAGTCACACAGTGCTGCCCTGAAAGCCCCCATATTCTGTGAAGAGGACTGACATGCTTGCTGGATGGACTGCTGGACCACGTCTACTGAAGACAATCTTTCTGCAGGGCTGCGTGCATGAAAACATCAAAGTCTAAAGAAAGACCTGGCCCTTGTCCCAGTTTGGAAAGCTCTGGATGGTTCTCCCAGTTTTGGAACTTCCAGCAGGTTCCCCCGAGGCACTGTGGAGAGAGAGCCAAGAGTCAGCATCTCCATCATTCTTCTCCTTCCCTTCCAAATGTGGTGCCATGAGAGGACTGCCTAGTAGCAAATCACCTGCATGTCAATTTCCATTTCAAAGTAGGTGTGTTAGGCAGCGTTCCAGGACTGTGACAAAATATCTGAGACTGTCAACTTAAAGAGAGGAAAATCAACTTAAAGACGACCAACTTAAAGGTGTGTTTTGTTTGTCTGGTGTGTGCGCATGTGTGTATGTGTGTGTTTTCTCCATGATTTCCCTCCCTGGCCTCTTGGTCCTTGGTTTAGGTCTGTGATGGTCTGGTACATCATGTCAGCGCCACATAATGGAGGAAGCCTGTGTTTCTCAAGAGAGAGGAGGCTGAGGTCTTAGTATCCCCTTCAAGGGCATACTCCTAGTGACCTGACTTCCTTCTTTTAGTAGCCCCACTTCTTAGAGATTTCACAACCATCTGGGAACCCAATTTTTGGTTTGGGATCAAACCAAAGATGGGCTTTTGTGGGTTATTCGAGATCCAAACTGTAGTAGTTTACATCTCAGGGCATGAAGGTTGTGACAATCACCCAGCCTGGAGGGCTAATGGGGGTTCAGGGTTCTCTGCAGAGAGCACACTCCCCAATGGAGCTGCATGTGCGGCCCTTTCCTGATCCTTTGCCTGGAACTGGTTCCTTCTTTTTGCAGCTTACCCTTCTGCCTCCAGGGGGTGCCTTTATGCTGTCCTTCGGCTGGGGGAACCACCATGGTATTTTATTTGTCTAGTGGTTGGGTTGTTCTTGTGCAATGATCATTAAAAGCCTCCAGAAAGTGTCCTTTGCCAACCCAAGCTCCAGGTCTCCAGGGAGCAGGCCTCCTACTTAAGTTTGGAGTAATGATAAAAGAGATAAAAATATTTCTGGGGGAAAAAAATCAAGGCGGAAGTGAAATAGAGTATCTTGAATTTGAGGGTGAAAAATAAACTAAAAGGAAATTCCATAGGTAGTGAGTCATGAGAGTGCAAGTCCTGTTTTTGTTTTCTTTCTTTTTCTTTCTTTCTTTCTTTCTTTCTTTCTTTCTTTCTTTCTTTCTTTCTTTCTTTCTTTCTTTTTTTTTAATCAGTCTGAAGAGAAAAAGAGGAGAAATGGAAATAACTTTTCACATTTATAGGTAGTACCTCAGATGAGGGGAAGATGGCTGAGAAATCCATTGCTGTTTGCTATTCAGGTACAACCAAAATATGTTTTTCAGGGTCATACCTCTCCTAACTATTGCAATAGCTCACCACTATACCCATGGGCTTTGGGTAAACAATAGACAGGAACCAGAGAAAAGACACCACAATTCCATCAAGACTAAAGTAACTCTAGATGGAATATCCAAAATGGCCAAGTGGCAAAATGGAAAAGTTCTCTGTAAAGAGGGTTTTAAGATGGCGGAACTGATTTCAGGATTACCTTGAATTGTTGCTTCTATGTTCCCATACCAAGCAGAATGCAAGCTTAAAGACCGGGAGGTCATCGTGTGTACCCCTGATGAATTTGGTCTGTGTTTCACACGTGTTAGGAGAGACATAAGTATGTAGTTGTGAATTGTAGACAAATTTCTAAATGGTCTTATTAAAATAAAAGACACGGAGCCAGAACTTGGGTTAAAACCTTAGAGAGATCAGAGAAAGTCACCAGCCAACCTTACCTCACCAACTCTGCAGCTTCCAAATGTGAGTTACTTCCTGTCTACCCATGCCTTTATTGCCTTGCTGTTCTGCCCTCTCATTGGCTCTCTTAGCCCAGCTACTTCACTTCCTCTTCCTACACAGCTCTGTCACTGCCTGTCTGTACAGACCTCCCAGTCCTCTGTGGTTGGTACTGGGATTAAAGGCATGTGTCACCACGCTTGGCTCTGTTCCCTAATGTGGCCTTGAACACACAGAGATCCTGCCTGGTAAGGGATCAAGGGCATGTGCTGCCTGACTTCTTGTTTACTAAAAATGGCTGGCCTTTTCCCCTGATCTCCAGGCAAGCTTTATTTATTAACATACAAATAAAATATCACCACATTTCACCACAAATAAAATACCACCGAAGTGAATGAATGAATGAATTAACGATCCTTGTTTTGACCTATCAGCTCTGCTCGTCTTCACAAGCTGTGTGCCAACTGACTGATTGATTCACTATACTTATTGACAGCTGTTGTGAACCAAACAAAGATGGCAAAGGAGGAAACTGACAGTTCCTAAGACAGAAAGCGATGCAGAGAGGAAAAATAGGATGGGAATAGGTCTGAACGGTGGTGGGTGAAAGTCTCAAGGAAGAAAGAATCAAGAAGGATGAACTAGGATTTGAAGGGGTCTGATCAGGAATAATGTGTTCCAAGGAAGAGGCAATGGGAACAAGAACAGAAGCATGGGAATTTGGAAGATCAGGCCACAGGAGGGGTTTTAAGTGATTATACATGACTAATAAATCCAGGAGGTAGAAAGATTTAGCATGAAACTGTAGAAGGAGGCCCGAGGTGGACTGTGCCATGAAGGCTGATGCCTTTCTTCTGCAGCAAACAGTAGTTGCTAAGGATGACATGGTGCTGATGGTGCTCTGTATAAGGGATGAAAACCAGAGAGAAATGTTTCTAGATGACTAGTTCTGAAGACTATCATTGTGATGACTAGTTCTGAAGACTATCGTTGTGATGACTAGTTCTGAAGACTATTGTTGTGATGACTAGTTCTGAAGACTATCATTGTGATGACTAGTTCTGAAGACTATCACTGTGATGACTAGTTCTGAAGACTATCACTGTGATGACTAGTTCTGAAGACTATCACTGTGATGACTAGAACTGAAGACTATCACTGTGATGACTAGTTCTGAAGACTATCACTGTGATGACTAGTTCTGAAGACTATCGTTGTGATGACCAGTTCTGAAGACTATCGCTGTGACTTTCATTTTTTAAAAAACCTATTTTAAAAGTGCTTATGTGGAACAGTCAACAAGAATTTAGTGAGCGATTGTACATGGGTCAAAAGAAGGGTGAAAACTGAGGGTGGATTTGAACTTTAAATTTGGATGCCAGGAAGGTGTTTATGAAATGAAATAATAGACTTTCTGTTTAAGACACACTAAGTACCCATGGACCATGTAGATGGAGATGTTTAGAAGTAAAGCGTAACGGTCACAAAACAAATTCAGATTGGAGACTGACCAGAAAAATCAATGCCTGAAACTGAATAATTTTATTTCCCCTTGTTTTTCTGGATGGAAACATTGCTAGTTTAATTCACATTCTTTGTGGTCTACCTAGAAGTTATTTCCCCCTTATCATTTGCTAGGATGCTCCAGCTTTGCCTGAACGTGGATGCCCAAGGAAGATGACACTAACTACAGTCCTGATGAATGCATCTGTATCACTCATGATCATTCAGTCCTGTTTGCCTCGGTTGATCTGAAAAGGACAAATGACCCAAGTCTACCAAATGAATCACAAGGGCTATTTACTAGATGTATGGTGACAAGAAACCCTCTGAAGGGCTAGGAAGACAAGCTGCATTTTCCCATCAGATATAGGGATGCCTGGGAGGCAGAGAAGCCATCTTGTCCTGCAAGAGGACAAGGACAAAACACAGAGAGGTAAGCAGAGCCCCCAGACTCTGTAATTGTAATTGTAAACAATTATAAAAAAGGGGGAGGGGGGAGGATGAGGCAAGGCTAGCCAACGCTCACAGAGATGCCACCCACCTCTGCCTGAGGCATGCTGGGATTAAAGGTGTGTTCTACCACTTCTGGCTTAGAATGTCTTTTAAAAATCTCTGCAGAAATGTGAAGTAAGTAAAACTGAGGAAGGAATTTTGAAGTCTGTTTGACATCAACTATCAAGACAAAAAATTGCTTTTGAGAACTGTTCATTTTCACCTGATGGAGTTTCAGCAGAAGAATGAGAATATTGGAAGAAGTTTGACCAAATGCTCCATAGATAGATATATTGAATTTCCTCTTCCTGTCCTAATGTTTAAATGGAATATCTTTGACATAAATTTTTGTGGGCCCCTAAACCTGTCATTAACTTTATACTTAAAATATTCAGCCTGGTGTTTAGTTCAAAAACATCATATTCTCAGACCAGATTTTTCTTGTGTGTTTGTTTTTTTTAAAAAAAAAAACAACAGAAAATATTTATAATATAATAGTCAAGAACCAAAATTGCTGCCGTCAAACCACATTGTCACCAACATTTTTAAAAACTCTCCAGAGATAACAAAATTTTAACAGAAGAAAAACTCAAAAATTGGAATACAAACTTACTTTCTGCAATTTAAAATGAGTTCCCATTTCATGTTTTTAGTAGACCTAAGACTTAATGTGTTGTGCTTTCTTTTCTTTTCTTTTCTTTTTTTTTTTAAGGAAAAACTGAAAACATGTTTGTTGTTGAATATTGAAGTCATAACAGACTTCTGTCAAACCAGCTCAGTATGATCAATCTTAGGTAATTCCTTTTGTC